CTTATGTCTTTTCGCTAAAAATCATACATTTCTATAAATCTTATGTGAAAGACGACATCAAGCATCGATACTTAAAGTCTATGTTATTTCTTTCCTATGGCAAAATTTGTACTTACTGCAATGATTCAGAACCATTAGCCTTTTGCTGTTCATACGCTGGATTTTGTCTTTTTAGAACACGTTTGAATAGCGTTTCCTGATAAATAATCATCAAATGTCAATAAATCAGTTTTTTTCTTTCTTTCTTGGATTCCTGTAGTTTCACAAATGGGCAAACTTAACCCTCGTGGCAGTTAGCTCAAAGTTATACACGTACATCAATAGAAGTATTTAAACCTGGTGTTGACCTGTTTAACAGCAATTCATAGCTCCTCAAATGACAAGAAACGTTTCCCTGATACAAGACGGACCACAGGCGGGATCTATTTCCCAGTAATATGTTTGAATTGAGCTAGAGCATTTCCAGCTGATTTTAATAACGAAAACAACAAAGAAGGAATAATCTAACAAGCAAGCAAACAGAATAATAGATATCTACCTGATATCCTTCAGAAGGCCACTCTGCCAACGACATGGTAGTCTTGTAAACAACCTCACTGGAAGTGTAAAGAAATCATCGAATTGACGTGCTGTCCTGAAAAGTGCTTCTGGACTAGCAAAAAGCTATTACACAATCAACGTAACTACTGCTTTATCCTTTTCCTCTGCATAATCCCATTGGAGTGATTCCGGGAAAATTTGTAGGAAATTAGTGCTATCACATTATGCAGGAGTCAAATTCTGAACGCAACAACATTTCTTTAGAATTTTAAAATGCAACCAGATTGATGAAAGATATTCATAAAATCTAAAGCACTATCAATCAGATTTACCTGCAAGGAACAGGGCAGTTTGGGTCGCAGCCTAAACCTTCCGCATCAAACTTTGCAATTAAGTCGTCCAAGCAATGTCCTAGCAATTTTGAAATAAGAAAATGTATATTATTAAATCCACAGGGTAAATCTGAAGGCACAGACAATGCTATTTTGTATGCAGACCATCCACGGACTTTTATATTTAGCAATTAAGAGTGCCTGCCCGTAAAAATCAGACAAATTCTTAATTTCGCGGCAAGGGTCGACAATTCGATTTTGCTCATATTCTTATGGTAGATAGGCTAGGGCAAGACAAAAACTACTGGATAGTTTTTTTTGGCAAAATAT